TCCCTGGCATCTGCGGCTTAATCTGATGAAAATGCTCGGCATTGTGATCTAAAATGCGCGCACATGTTACTGGAATGAGGCCGCGCGGCTCGCGTAGGGCGCGCGTCTCATGCTTAATAAATAGGGCGTTAACGCTCCATTAAAAGAGCGACGCCGGAGTTCAGAGAGCATGAAAGTTCATAAAAAGGCCGGGAGCCGAGGTCGCGCGGCTGGCGCGCTGGCGCGGGCGCGAGCGATCGCGACGTGAGCCCGGCTGGCGCACCGAGCGAGAGATTAGGCCGGCGCCCATACAAAGGGGTGCAAAAAGCGCCTCGAGCGATTCGAAAGTCATAAAGCGGGCGGTCCCGGCGCTCTCGGCCGCCGGATGACTGATCGAAGCAGACGGCGCGGCTAATTTCGAGCGTATCATTAGAGCGCCGCGGCGAGGCCGAGCGACGAGTTGGGCACAGAGTGGCGATCGCCGGCCGAAAATCAATTAATATGCCGGACGAGGAGGAGAGCTGGCGGCGGCTGCGCGCGGGGGCAGTGCGGTTCTGTCGAGCGAGGAGTAATTGCTGCGGGAATGCGTTTATCGGTGTGCAACGTACGCGCGAGCGCCGCGCGGGGGAGAGGATAGCGGCGGCAGCGGCGGCGGCGACGAGAGATTCGAGTGAAGCGGGCGGACGAGCGAAGGGTCGAGCGCGCCTCAAAAAAAAAATCGATATAATCTCCCATCTGCTAATAATAGAGGCTCATCCCCTCGCCGCCGCTCTGCGCGCGCGTGTGTGTGCGAGCGCGCGCGCGCGCGTCAGTGTGTGCGTGCGTGTGGATGCCCCGGGCGGGGCAGTTTTCCTCCTCTACAAGCGTCTACGACACCGAGCTCTTATCTCTCTGTCTCTCTTCCCCGTGCGCTCCGTGGCATCTTATCTGCACGGCGAGTGCGCCAGAAGGATTCCTCTCTTCCTTTCCGCTGCTTCTGCCGGCGCGGCTGCTGCGGTCGCTGCTCAATTAGCGCGCGCGCGCGAGCGCGCGGACGTCGGAAACAAGCGGGGATTTTTGGGATGCGAGCGCGCGCACGATCAAAGGCGAGAGTCCCGTTCGCGGAACTGCGAGTAATCCTCGAAGGCTTAATCCTTTCTCCCGCTTGCTCTCCGCTCCTCCTGAGAGCGGCCGAGCGAGTGAGCGAGCGAGCGAGCGAGCGAGCCGAGTAAGTCGTGTGGCCAGATAGCGGCTCGATAACCGGCAGTCTCGGCTCTCTCTCTCTCTCTCTCTCTCTCTCTCTCTCTCTCTCACACATAACTCTTGTAAGTAACGGCGAGGCGAGGCGAGGCGAGGCGAGGATCTTTCTGTCTCTCACTGGTCGGACGACTTGTATCCGACGACGCGACCAAGACGACCGGAGGTGGTCCTTATGGCGAAAAAGGCGCGAGCGAGAGGCGGCGAGGCGGTGAGCCGGCGAGGCGACGGCGGGGGGACAAGAGAGCGAACGAGGCTGGATTCCTTAATTCCCTCTCGGAAACGGAGAGCGAGAGAGCGAGCAAAGAGAAGTGGACGAGAGGAGAATGGTTCGTTTGCATCGAGGGAGCCGAGCCGCGCCGAGCCGCGCCGAGCGGTGTTTAAGCGAGCGAAAAGGGATCCGGAGCGAAGATACGCGGCTTGCATGATGATGGGTGGTCGGAGCCGCGGACCGAACGGACCAAAAAGGCCGGGGATCTCCACACTCAGCAGCCCAGCAGCCGAGCCACTAATAAATTCAACCTGGGCGCGCGAATGTCTTTTCTGGCGCTCCGCCGCCGGCAGCAGCTTCTCCATTGTGCGATTGATAGTTACAAACGGGCGGCTTCCTCGCGCGCCCGATGATGCGCAATTTGCAGCAGCTAATGGCCGAAGGGCGCTTCGTTAAGGAGCAAGTTGGTGGCTTGGGCGGAATGATTAAAAAAAGCATCAAGTTCTGGTCCGCAAGCTCCGGCTCTCTGTCTCCCGCTGGGGCTTGCGCATAATTGCGAGCTAATAGCTAGGCGGGCGGGCAGGCAGGCCGGTCTGAACTTAATTTTTCGACGATAATTTTCAGCGAGCGAGCGAGCGAGCGAGCGAGCGAGAAAGAGAACAGCGGCGCGGCGGTGGCGGCGGCGGCGGCGGCGGCGGCGCCGGCACAGGCAGCCGAGAGGCTGGCAGCGAGGTCAAACGGGGCCGCGGGGAATTAGACTGCCAGCAGCCAGCGCCTGTTGGCGAGGGGGAAAGTGACAAATAAGACGTGGAGCGAGCTAGCGGGCGAGAGAGAAAAGATTAGCGGGGGGTTGGGATCGGGGCTGCTCGGGGGACGGGCTGGGGCGGCTAACAAGCGCCGCGGCGAGGGTGGAGAATTAATGAGAGAGGGCGCCCGGGCAGACACTTGTGGCTAGCGCCCAAAGCTCGCGCAGCTTTAAACCGATCCCTCCCGCTGGCGCCGCCGCCGCCGCCGCCGCCGCCTCCGCGCGCCGCCGACGGCGGCTCTCCGCGCTCGCGTGCAGCGCCCTCCCCGGAAAGCCCTCCAACTTGGCCTGACCTCGCAAGCACGAGAGCGCCGCGGCTGCGGCGGCCTCTTCGCAACTCAGCGCCAGCCGCTCCACGCTCCTTTAGCTCCTAATATATAGCTCGGGCTTGCCTCCTCGCTCCCGGCCGCCCACCCTCTCGCGCCGCCTCGTTATGCCTCGGCTATACCTATGTGGCGCGGCCCGACCGCCCGCCAGCTCGCTCGCGAGATTTTCATCTTTTCGCCAACTTGCCGCCAGTTTGAAAGCCCGCTATTCTAATGCCCGCCGACGAGCTGCTGCTGCTGCTGCCGCGCGCGCTGCCAGCGCTGCGGAGTTTCCGAATTTGCATTGCTTATTACTCGAACGAGCGAGCTTGCCGCGCTGCCGCCTTCGCCGCCGTCGCCGCCGCCGCCGCCGCGCCAAGAGCGCCGGTGGCAAACAAAAATTCGAGCGATCACGGCTGCTGTCGTCGCTGCTGCCGCGGATATAAATTGCCGGGCCATCGACGTTTTTCAAAAAGTTTTCGAGCACTCCATCATCGGCCGACGCGCTCCGCTCGCCGCCGTCGACGCTCGCTCGCTCGCTATGCGCGCGCGTTCAAGCGATCGATGATCGCTCGGCCGCTACGTGCCCGCGGCGCCGAGTAATTGTTCGTCATAAAGCGCCGATGGGAGTCGACGGGCAATTGAGCCGAAAGAGCGCGGCGCGCGTCTCTTCGGACGCGGGCCGAAGGGAGCGCGAGTCCGAGTTGCGTGTCTGTCGCATTTGCATGCGCGCGAGCCCGCCCGAGCGTATCCGGCGCGGCAGCCGACGCCGCCGCCGCCGCCGCCGCGACTGCTGCTCGCGCGCAGCTCTCCGCTTTGATCCTGCGCTCGATGTAGATTTTATGCAGATTCGCTGGCTTCCAGCGGATGTGCAAAGACTCGCTGGCGCTCGCCCGCGAAAGTCGACCTCTAAGCACCATTGTGAAAGCTCGAGCGAGTGCGATTGGGATGAATCCAGTGACGGCGCTCGCCGGGCCAACAACTTGAGCACACACATATTTCTCTCCGACTGGCTTTCCGCACGCGGCGAAACAGGCGCAAAAAAGCAAAAGTAAAGAAACGAAAGCGCCGCTGCGGCTTGGTATAGTTGCCTCGCGCTCGCGCGCGCTCATAAAGCAAAGGAGGGAGCGGCGTGAGAGCGTATCGTAAAAATCGAATTTTTCCACGAGTAGCTCTCTCGCAGTTGCTTACATACCGGCTACAGCGTCTATAATGTACACGCGTACGGAGAGCGGCATCAGGTATGTGTGTGCAGTGGCAGTGACACCGACCGACAAACGTGAAAACGTGTGCCCTCCGCTCGCTCGCGCCCGCCAAGCAGCGCAGATGATGGAGGAGGGAAATAAAGGAAAAGCAAAGTCTGTGCCTGCCGCTGCTGCTAGCTCAAGATGCTGCCGAGAGAGAGAGAGAGAGAGAGAGAGAGAGAGAGAGACAAAAAAGCGAAAAAACGAGCCAGACTGAGAGAGGAGCTACGAACGGAGGCAAGAGTTTGATAAATAAGAAAAGTTCCTTTATCCTGCGCTGAAAGAATGTATCTAGCGTCAAAAAGGAGAAAACCTAGCCGCGCTTCACTGGACTCCTTCGCGCGTCCAACAACGTATATCCGACCAACATCTAACGAAAGAGAAAAATTATCTGCTATGTGTAGCCGATCCGAACAACTTTTGTTTACCCGCCCAGACGAAAGTCGTCGATCAAGGAATTATAAGGCACTAGGCGCGAGGGCCGAGGGCGAGAGAGGGCCATTTGAATAGACTGGTGCGAGGCGAAAAGAGATCATAAGTCAATTTCCTATTGTAGAAGAGCGGCAGGGGGACACTTCTTCTCTCTCGAGTGAATGCCTCAGACGCATTGATACGAAAGGGAGCAAAAAATCGAGTAGCCAGCTAAAGATTCTTTCCTGTCAGCGGCCCGACTGCTGCATGCGAGTTTAAACTCTTTTCTGGAATAGTGCCAGTTAGCTCTTGTTTCGCTAAAAGAACAGCCGTCGCGTCGCTTCGTTCGTAAGTAGTTTAACCTCTTCAAATTAGACTGATTTTTCAGAGCTTTCATTCTCATTGAAATATTATTATTCATGAATATTCCGCTTTCAGAGAATCATTTAAACAAATGCATAATCATGCCCAAATAACATGTGGCGTGTAAAAAATTTCTTCTTCCCGCACTCTTCGTAATGAATGCTTAATTTTGGTTAATATAGACAAGTAGCAATATTAATTTGATAATGATGAAAAGATAATATAATTATACGATTGAAAGCATAAATCAACTGCCATCTCTTGGTCATACTACACAGCGCAACCTGAACGCGCACCCGGCACATCTCGCAAATTTTCGCTTACCACTTTACTGTTGCCGGTTGATAAGAAAGGCTTCGCAGGAATTGCAATTTCTAGCAAATTATCTGCAATATCCTCTGTGGTTACAAATTTATAAAATAACTAGCGATTAATATGGTTCGGAAAATACTTTTACTCAATAATGCAAATCCATTCGAGGTCTGAAAAATATTTACAAATCCATACATACATGTAATATGCTCATAATTACAATAAAAGATAAGTCATTTCAATCATCATTTGCTTATAGATAAAGAATTTATTCTGTTAATTAATGAAGAAACTAAAGTTGTTAACTTCAGGAATTAACGAATTTTTTCAACGGGGATCTAAAGTAGAAATAGGAGCCCTTGGTGTCTTGAAAGCGATACTATCGGGCACTGGTTTCATGGAAAATAAAGACCCAAACAATACATGTTGTATTACAGGGAACTTGGCTAATACCTGAAATCAAAAATTGTTTTCATTATGTAATTAGATAAAATAATGAGTAATGCATTTTCAAAATAGTAAGACTTACTTCTGCTTTGTACATTCTTATTAGACCGCTGTTAACTTTTGACCATGATCCAACTGCACTAACATTCCAGAGTTGGTTGGAGTGCTCAGCAAAAGGACCTGTTTTTACCTTTGAAATAAACTCTATACATCCAAGGAAGATATATTGTTTGCTGTTTGCTTGTGCAATTCCATGATCAACAAAGTGCACAGGTTCAATACGATGATGGCCTAAATATTTAATAAATTCTTATTTTAATACCTCATTGCTTTAGTCTTTTAGGAAATAATTATTCTTATATTCACCAATCAATTGTGAACTACCCCATATGAAAGGAACAAACTGATAATCATCCAAGCTCCAAACGCCATGGCTACCAGCAGGTTCCATGCGATAAGTTAGTTGAAGCTTGCGAACTACTTCAAGGTACCTTAAAATTATTAAGAATAATATAAATAATACAATTAAAATCGACATCAATATAATCAAATGAAATTCATACCTGTTGAATAATTTTAACCCAACTGCTGTTTTATCATTCATCTCAAAAGCACCTATTTTAAACATGCAACATAAAAACATTACAAAAGCCATTTCATGACCAGTCCCATAATCTATACGAGTAGCATTTCCAAAGCTTTCCAGTAAGTATTGGACAATTTCTGGTATTGCTGGGTAAAGATTTTCAGGTAAAATTTGTTTTAGTTCTTCTACAGCATTCTAAAAATGATCATTTAGTATTCAAACATATCATAGTTTTTTGATTTTCAATTTTAATCATAATTATTTTCTTCTAGGTACCTCATGTAATCTTTCATACCAAAGTCTGAAAGATTGGTTGCCAAAACGTTGTGGTTGCTCGGTTGGAGGAATTTCATCTATCCATTTGTCAAATTTGTTAAGCATTTGAATAATTTTATCTACAGTTGATGAACATGGATAATTTGAATCGATTGCCTTGCCTTTCACAGCATCGTTAATTGCCATCAAAAATCCAAAGTATTCCTATTTTTATATGCAGTAATAATAACAACATGTAACAAAGGCATAATCTTAATAAACTCAAAATTTTTTATACAGCTGTACTTACAAAGTATGCTTCTGATTTTTCCCATGTTGCCATGTCAGTTGGACTTTTTATTGCTTTTCTTGGTTCAATAAATTCATGATCAGCTGGAAATATGATGTTAAATTTTTCCTTTGGAGGTACTTTCAGGGAAAAATTTTATTTAAATATGTAAAAAAAAAGGTAAAAATTTTCATAAATAAGAACTTACGTGGTAATTTAAATTCTGGTGCAGTAGTACTTGACATGATTGATAAATTTTAGAATAAACCTCAACCTCAATATTTAAGAAGTAATTTTATGAAATTTTACAAGAAAGGTAAATTAAAAATCATGTGCTCAGAATTCAATAAAAAGTAGGTCGAGTTATTAGCATAGCTTGGACTTGTTATTATACTTATCTAATAAAATAAATAAGGTAAATGTAATAAACAAACACAAATAATCTTTAGTCGGAACCCCGGCTTAAATATTTTTAACTTAGAACGATATTTTTTATGTGACTGTCTAACTAACGCGAATACGACCTACGCGCCGACGCAATGTTGCCAAATTGGTGATCTACGTTCAATTTTCAACCGCCAATTTCGTGAGATTTGTTTATTGAAAAATTACTGCAATAGTGAATTAACAATTCATAAATATTTTTTTGATTAATACGTAACAAAAAAAAATGAATATTTTTTGCGAATTTACAGTATTCATATTGTTTATAAGTATGTCAATGTACGAAAATGCATAATTGCAGACTGCAGACGACAAAATATAACCAACCCGAAGGTTAAGGTTATCAAACGTCTAAACAATTGAAAATAACACTACGTTGTACATAGTTGCAGAATAAAATCTATAACATTTTTGTTGTTATTTATTTACTTTGTAACATAAATATGTAGATAAAATCATTTAAAAGAATACTTTTTTCGTTATTTTGACTATGGAAGTATTAAAATTATGGCTTTACATATGAGTGAATCAAACCTAGGCTGTATACTTTTGTTGTATAAATTGTAACCTACAAAGATTTTCTGTTCAAGACATTAAATTTCACCCAATAAAACTCCGGTATATTTTAATATCATTGATATAACTGGAAAATGTGTTACCTATCTGTGATTATTTTTAGATATGTATTCAAAAGAAGACATTGAAAGAAAACGTCAAGAGGCTTTGGAACGTCAACGACAAAAAAGATTGCCTAGCAATAGTGCAAATCCAACATCTGTTTTTCAAAAAAACATTGATAAAAGTTATCCAAATCAAAATGCAAAACCTTCATTAAAAAATAATAATTTCAAGAATTGCATTAGTAATGATGGAAGCAATAAAGTAACTTTTAATTCAAGCATGAAATCATTTTCTTATGGAAATCCTCAAAAAAAAATGCCAAGCTCATATAAACAGCAATCAATATTAAACCGATTCAGTCCAATAAATAATAATAAATTCTATGGAAATCAACCTGCATGCGAAGTTAATTGTTCAATTATAAGTAGTAATAGATTTGCTGCTGATACATCTATATTTCATCAACCAGTGATAGAAATTTTGAAAACCATTCCTACACGATTATATGGTAATAAAATAAGAAATAGTATATTTATTATGTGTCATTACCAATTTCAAGGAATATGCATATGATTTAGTAAATTAATTTTCAGACGCTAAGAGTAAAGTATGGAATTTCCATATTAATGATTATGATTTATTGCATGAAAAATTAGTTAACATGAAACCAGATGTTGTGTTCAATGGACTACCAAGTTTTGTATTAAAAGTATAAAATCGTTATTCTCTTTTTTCGTACTTTAACTGGAAAGTATCACTTAATTTTAACATTTCCTGTTTTGAGGTTTTCAAAAATTCATTTCAAAATGAAAATAAAGAAAAACCAATTGTAGATTTATCAAGAATTGATGCTACACTTCTTAATTCACTTTATCAATTTCAAAGAGAAGGAATAGAGTACGTATTTCATATAATCATTTTTATAGTTTTTATTAATATCATTGACTTAGGTATGGAGTATTGCAAAATGGAAGATGCCTTATAGCAGATGATATGGGGCTTGGCAAAACAAGGCAAGCTTTAGGTCTTGCACATTATTATAAAAATGATTGGCCTCTCATAATAGTTACTCCATCCTCAGTAAGGTAAAAACAAGTATTTTTATAATATTTCTTTATCTAACTAACATTTTTCTAACAAATTTAAAAAATGAAATAACTATGTTTTTTTAGATACCAGTGGTCTGAAGCTATAATTGAAAATTTATCATCAGTACCTGCACAATCCATTCAACATATTGTGTCAACTAAAGACTACATAGAAAAAAGTCAAATTACAATTATATCCTATGATTTATTAGGAAAAAGAATAGATGAAATCGCTGCGCGAAAATTTGGTGTTATAATCTGTGTATGTTTTTATAAATTATTGCAATATTATTATTTATATTATTTAAATTTTATTTTTAATTATTCTTTTAGGATGAATCTCACTATTTGAAAAGTCCCAAGACTCAAAGAACAAAATCAGTTCAAAAGTTGGCAAATTATGCTCAAAGAATCATTTTACTAACGGGTACACCAGCACTTTCTAGGCCAATAGAATTACATTCTCAAATGAAATTATTGATGCCATCCTTTATAAAGTAAATATTTATATAATGATAATTTATGAAAATGTAAATAGGATAAAATTTATTATTAAATAATTTATTTTAGTTATTATGAGTATGGAGCTAGATACTGTGCTGGTGTACAGACAAAGTTTGGTTGGGACTTCAGTGGTTCATCAAATTTGAAAGAGTTAGAAAATCTGCTAAAAACCTGTTGTATGATAAGGAGGTTAAAAAGTGAAGTCATGAATCAATTACCATCAAAAATAAGGTACAATAGTGAGTTATTATATTAGTTAAGAAAACTAATTTATTTGAACTTAGCATAAGTAGTTGTATATTATTACAGGCAAAAGATTATTCTGGATAAAGATCTAATAAAATCTACCACTAAAGAAATGCAGGCTGCTTCTAAAACGTATGAAAAAGAAAAAGGATTAAATTCCCACATTGCACTTTTGGAATATTATAGAGAGACAAGTAAAGCCAAGGAAAAAGCAGTTTGGTAAATATTAGTGTCATTTTAATAATAAAAGCGGTAATTAAGGTTAATCTGAAATTACATAAAAGTAAAAACGTTTATTCATGAAATTGCAGTAACTATATCACTGAATTGTTGGAAAATGAAGAAAAATTTCTAGTGTTTGCTCACCATCAATCTATGATGGATGCTATAAGTCAAGTGCTAACTGCAAAAAAAATTTTGTAAGCTAATGACTTTTTTTTAAAAGTTATATTTCAGGCCATTTAGTAAAATATCTTATTTTATTTATTTTAGATTTATAAGAATAGATGGAAAAACAAATGCAGAGCAAAGAAAATATTTTGTTGATACGTTTCAACAAAATGAGGATGTATTAGTAGCAGTGTTATCTATAACAGCTGCAAATGCAGGCATAACTATGACAGCAGCTCGATTAGTTTTATTTGCAGAATTATACTGGAATCCTGGTGTCAGTATTATAGTTTATTTTTATTATTAAAAACGTACTTTAGCATGAAATTAATAAAATATGTCTTTTACGTTTTCAGATTTTATGTCAAGCAGAAGATAGAGTACACAGAATTGGCCAAATTGATAATGTTGTTATACGATATTTACTGGCTCAAGGAACAGCTGATGATTACTTATGGCCTAAAATTCAAAAGAAAATTGAAACGTTAAATGAAGTCGGTTTAGATCAAAATTTTGATCTTAAGAAAGCCGAAATCAGTAATCAATTAGTTCATAATCAGCAAAAAATGGATAACTTTATTATGTCATCACCACCAAATGCAATGAGTACTGATGCAGCACAAAATTCTAGCTTGCAAACAAGTTCGGATAGTTTGAAAGATTTACTAGATCTGGATGATGCTGCCTTTGATGACATTGATTTGGATAATATTGTTTGAAGCAAAAAAGTTTTAAAAATATGTATATCGGTTTTGTTCCGATAATTTATAAAAATGTAGACTTAATTATTTTCTACGCGACGTTTATACTTGTTTGGTTTGATAAGATTGGTATATAAGTTATAAGAATTATTGTTTGAAGTTATAGTGTAAAATTTGAGTGATATGAAAGAATGATTAAAAAGTTATATTTTTCCATGGAATATTATTATTTTATAGAGTATTATTTTCTCTCACAAAATTTTGTCATAAAAAATGTATGAATTTTTCAAAGTAAGATTCAAAATTTTTGGACTATTTTTGGCGTAAGCCAATAAGCGAAGGGGAATCGGATTCGGAGTTCCGTCGTTGCGTCGACTATCTTTTTTTATAAAAACTTGCCCATCGATTTACTTGGAAATATCATTTGGAGAGAGAGGAGTTGTGTCATTTTCCCAACACAATAGTATCGTTCAGCTATTTTAGTATCAATCTTTGTTGGACAATTCAACAATTTAGTAGCCCTGCGCTGCCGTGGTCCGTGGTGTCTCTGTACACTGGAAAGTCATTATCTGCACGGAATTCTTTCGTTCCGTACGTCTCAATTAGTAACGATATTCTTGTTTAGCTTTCTGTTGTACGTCGCAGTTCGTTGAGATTATTGAAAGACCATAGACGTGTGGCCGAACTTTAAAATGAAGAAATCTACTGCGCTGTTTTTTATTTGTTCCCTAGTTTTGATATCAGGTAAGTGCATTTTTTCAGCCTCCATCTTGCGTGGCTGTATTTTTTTATTCTCACTTCGAAGTGGCGTACGAAAGCCGTTAGTCGCGCATTTACAGGTTTTCCCTGCACTCTGCTTGAAAAATATGGTTGACAAATCTTTTGGAACATTCATGACGTTGCAATATTCGTCAGATTCATTGCTTATACCGAATCTATATTATATCCCTAACATTTCCTCGTATGTTTTTTGACGATTTGATAGATTCTTTCCGCTGCTAAAATTTGATAAAATATGTTATTCTTTAGCTCATTATTATTCTTCTTTTGTTCGCTATTCGATTTTGGTGGCACTGAATTGTCATATTCAGTCGCAATAATGCGAACTGATAAATTTTATACAAAATAAAAAAGAATCGAATTATCATTGCTGTGTCTACTGTTTGCTTTGCTTTGAATTTTTTTCATCCACAAATGTTAAGTATATATTGATAACACTGCTCTGTATTGAAGATAAGATTTCTTTGGTGTAGCTTACTATTTCCAACTTTTTTGATAAACTCCTAATATAGACATTAAATGATTATTCTATTATTTTTTCAAATAATAGGATAAAAACTCTTTATTATAATTCGTATTATAATTTTGCCATTGCATATATTTATGTTATGACTATTTCTATAAGAAAGAATTTGTATGCTATGAAAGTTGAGACTGCTTTTTTTGAATCTGTAGAGATTGAGTAACATTTTACATAAGTAGCACACGTTATTAGTTAGATAATCACTTAGTTCCAAAATTATTTATTTTTAATAAAAAATTAATGTTTTAAAATAATCACATCAATTCACAATAAATATAACAGAAATTGCTCAATAGTGGTTGTTTGATAAAGCAGTTGAAAAACTAAAGATAAATTTTGCATGTCTTATCCTGTTGCACTGACTCATATTAATAACCAACAAAAGAATGATAGACTCGACCAATGATTATACAGCACAATGGAATAAACTTTATTTTCAATTCTGATTTTACAAGTAATCTCTTTCATAAAAAATACATGTAACTGTAAACATAACAATAACAAAGTTGAATTAATATAATGTTTCCAATAAAATAAATCATTTGATCATTTGATAAAAACATGAAAATTATTCTTACAGGATTCAATGCTCAAGTTACTTCTAAGCCTGACCCTACTGCAAGCCCTATTGAAGTCAAAACAACCACTACTTCTATTCATGACAAAACAACTACTATCATAAGCACTACATCTATTAAAACAACCATTAGCACTACAGAAAATCCAAAGACTACTTCTAACCCAACTACTGCTTCTGTAAGTACAAGTACTAGTGCTCCCGCAACAACTCCAGTACCAGATCCTCAAGCAGCGAAATGGAGTATAAGTGACAAAGACAATGTCATCATTGTTAACATGGCTGTACAACTGAGTATCACCTACAATGTTAAAAATGATGAGAAAGTAAAGGTTTATATGAGACACCATTCTACAAATAATTAGACCTACACCAATATAAAAATATTTTTAGCTTAATGTGTAAATTGATTTCAGAACAAAACTGTATTGATAGATATTCCATCAAATAACCAAACAATAGCTAGTGGCAATTTCTCTTCAAATCTTCAAACAATTATACTTTCATGGAAGTCTTCTGGTGCTGGAAATAATAGTTTCAGCCTTACTTTCAAAAAAAGTAATGTATCTAAAACTTATTGGCTTAGCCAATTAGAAGTTCAAGTTCAAGCTGAAGATCTACCTGGTGTTGATCCAAGTAAGCTTATATATTCATCATAATGCTACTTATTTTTATGGAGATGGAGTTGTTACTATGTTTTTTGCCTTATGGTTATTAAATAATAATTTGTTGTTTTAGGTGTAACATTGAAAGTTTTCCATAATCAAGAGCATTTCAATACTAGCCTTGGAAACTCTTATCAATGCAACAAACTGCAACCCTTCAGTTTAATGAAAGAAAATGATACTCAAATTATCGGTTATGTTAATATTACAGACATCAAATTTCAAGCTTTCAAAACAGGTCATGACACATCATTTGATCATGGTAAGTTAATACATGGTATTTAAAATTCTATTTTATGAATATTTTATGGAGATACTAATGATAATTATTATATTTAATTCAATGCAGCTGAAGTCTGTGCATTTGACACCCCTGATATTGTGCCAATAGCTGTAGGTTGTATTTTAGCAGGTTTGGTTGTTACAATTTTGGTTGGATATCTCATTACTCGGCGACGTAGCCAAGCCAGGGGTTACCTCAGTATGTAAACAGGAACATTCTTAGATTTTTTTAATGAAATTCATATGAATTCTGTATCCAAAAATCGTTTATTTTATACTCCACTAAACTCATATTTATGTTTCATTAAAACTTAATTTCCTACTGCGGAGTCATCTTGTCTTGTATAATTAACCATTCATTAAAACAATAGTCACACAATTTATAAATGATTAATTATACCCAGACAAAGTTAAAACTGTAAGTTTTGTATTTCCCTAGGGATACTAAAAAGTAAAGAAATGTATTATATCCACCAAAAATTATATCTTCAATCAAATTCAATACTGGTAAAATTTTTTCCTATTTGTAAGGATGCATTTCAAAAATCATCTCTAGTGTGGTTTAAGAGACCTGCTTTAATATTTCTATAGTGAAGGAGCACGAATGTCAATATGTGGCATTCCAAAAAATTAAGGCTTTTTTTCTTGATTCAATCAATTTTTCTGCAAAAACTATTCTAAAACCTTTAAAATATTATATTTAAATGTTTTTGCACTTTCTTTTTTTGTATCAACACCATAGATTTATAATTATATTCTGTTATTGAAATATATTTTGTTTTAATTAAGTGAAGACATTCATCATCCTTATGAATAAAATTGTGATATGCTTCGTGCTGCTTCACGAATTATTGTCTTAAGACTGAAACTGATGTCGACGAAAACATAATAATGTAAAATTCTTTTAAAAATGAAAAGAAAATTATTTACTTGAAAAAAATCAACACAATTACTGTTTTCTTGTTCTATCTTTGTATTTTGGTGCTCCAATTTGTTAAAAACAAATTAAAAAACGTTAATTACATGAAAATAATTCTTATGTATTTGTGTTTTCATTAGTTATCTTTGTTATCTAATGCCAATGAAATATTTTTTGTCAGTTTCATGATTTTTATAAAATGTATAATTTTTAAACTTATGAAAGTATCTGGAATTAAATAACTTAAAACAATAGTGAAATTGTAAATTACTAAGAAAAATGTTATGGATATAAAGTTTTGTCCTCGATGATTTTCAATAAAAAATAAGAATAAATAAGTAAATGTTTTATTAGTTAAAAAATATTCCTGGTTAATTAATTTGTTATTATTAAATTTAGTTTTTTTTTGTCTTTCAATTTTAATTCATAAAATTAATTAATTTGAAATCGACTTATCTTGTCAATATAATAATTTGTTCATTAAGTATTTATAACTAAAGGTTTGGGCAATAATGGAATATTTATATTACATTTAAACTCTATTGAGAAACTGTCCTCTCAATTGCCAGGTTAGACCATTTCTGAAAACATCAAACTGTTTTGGTTCGATAATCTGTACTATACCCTACATGCAATTATACAAGTATACATACTATGTATAACCACAGCGTACATCTGACATCAATCAGCTCTTGTATCAATATGGCGTAGCAGAATACAAAACTCGTTGTTTTTGAAAAAATTTAAGTTTTAAAAAAAATTAAGGTAACATGTCATTATAATTAATACAGCGTATCGTGCAATTTTTTAATCGCTTTATGAATGTAGTAGTACTTCTTCAAATTGTTAGATATTACTAGATAGTGAAGAACCTTAACATAACCTTTAACTGGTAAATAATTGTATAAATTAATTAGTGTAATCGATTGAATGTTGAATGTCATACTGTTGAACGGAATAAATATTTATTTTTATTTAATTTGTAAAACCTTTTCATTATGTAAAAATATTCTTTTCTTATCAAAATGTAAACGTTTAACTAAAATTTGAAGATTAGACCAGAAATAAGTTGAAAAAACAATTGATATTTGTATTTTACAGTTAATAAAAAAAGTTACATCTCTTATAATAATGTTTGAGTGGGCCTACAGTGGAGTAAATGCTTCAATTCCAAGAAACGTAGGACCAGAATGTGCTGCTTATCTTTCTAAAAAAAGAAGAATAATAGAAACTTTTTTGGTTTCAATATACATAATTTTTTTATTAATATGGAGCTTAAAAAGAATGACTTTACCGAAATCAGTACCATATGTACAACAAATAAGAAAAGGCAAAGTATTTTTACTTACAACAATGTGTTTAGTATTTGGAGTTGAAATTGGTTTCAAACTCTCTATGAAAACATTTGTATATATTTTGAATCCTTGCCATGTAATTACTATCATTGAGGTAATTAGAATATTATTAGAAATGATTGATAACTTTAGTAACATATTGAATTTATATATTTTTTCAGATATATCTGTTAGCTGTTGAACCGAATAGTCCTACTGTCACAGCAATTTTTAGAATAGTAGTTTCAGGATTGAATGGGCCAGTTTTAGCCTATGTGTTTCCTGAGACTGATTGTAGACCAGTACGTAACAATGTTGTTATTGCAGATGATGTATTATTTTTTCATAAATTGCAAAATATTTTCCAGATGTTTGCAGATAAAGCAGTCTATTATATTCAGCATGGCTTGATGGCTATAGTTCCTTATTATTTAATACGACTTGGAGGTGGGCATTTCGCTCTAACATGATATAAAATTTTTTTAAATTCAATTTCAATTAATTAATTGAATATTCAATTAATTAATCTGCTGTGTAAGTGTAACCATACTTAATTAAACAATTACTTTTCAAGGTGCTTATAATGTTGAACCATTGACTGACATGAGTTGGTCAATTTTCGGATATGCTGTGAGTTTAGCTTATCATTTTTGGATTCTACAAATTGTAGGAATGGTAAAAAAATAATTACATGAAATTGATACAAGTATTTTTTTTTACTTTCAAGATTGAGACAAATTAAACTTATAATATATTTTAGCTTGTCCAAGTCAACTTGAGTCACATGTTATGTCCTGCTATTCTGGATCCATTTGATGGTCAAAATTATAGAATTTGGGCAACCTGTCATCAGTTATTACTTATTCCTCTTCTTTACAAATTGTTTTGTGTAAGTGCGTATTTTTTCCTGATCAAATGTCCATTAACAAGAGTAAAACCAACTCTTGATTATATGCTGATAAATTACACTGTTAAACAAAAAAGTATAAATAATTACGAAGTTACAAATAGTGGCGGAAATTTACATAGACACAGTGAATGAAAGCTAGTCAAATTAAACTGTGATAGTATTTTTTGCCAATTCATAAATATTCACTATGTAAGCACGTGATAATTACGCCTAATGTAAAAAAATAAAAATTTGAACATTAAAATAACTATCTTTCGATCAAGATGATAGTAATTGATTGATTAAAACGTTGTACTCTACTGGCATCCAGTGTTTTACTATCTAAAAAAATTTAACTGAGTAATTTAATTTATAAAGCTAAATGCTTGAAAGTGTAGTCTTTATTGTTTGCGTAATTATTGTATAAAACAAATAATGTAACACTAATGATATTTTTAATATTGTGTGTAAAATCTATATTTCTGTAAAAAAAACTAAGCACCAATGTCTGAAAATCGGTACTATTAGTCATAAGAATTTTAAAAGTATATTGCTAGAGTTTGTCAATTAAGTAATTACTGACTCATTTTTACCACTTTGATGTTGTGGTATGTGGTCTAAAACGAGTACCTTGTGAGTAAATGTCAAAGCTATAGATGATTAGTAACTGAGATTTTCATAACAAATGAGATTATTTTGGGACTCTTATACCTGACAAGTTGTGAAACTGTTGTAAAAACACATAATATACTGTAAAATAATATAATATATATACAGCCTTGCTGTTGTTATGTTTGACCGTCGACAGTTCTTTTATTACATAGCCGTAGTTTCAGCAAAGGAGTAATAAGTAACGATAAATACCGAATAATTACATACCAAAGAAAATAAACAAAACGTTATGATCAAAAAATTCTATTCATGATATGTACTTTAACTCATTCATCTGTTACATCAATAAATGCACTATATGAACGCCGAGTACAAATTTCCTTTGCGATACTAGTATAAGATACAATGTACAGACATTAGTTTAATTTATTCCAGATGTACTCCACTAGTTACTCATGAAAGCATTTTGTTGTTTAGCGAATAGTGTATAAAAATGTAATGGAAATTATTGCAAATATACATACATATTATATTTATTGAAAACATGAAATTCTTTTCTTTTTTTAAACGATAAACTCCAACCTCAGCCGCTCACATTGTAATTGAAGTATTGAACCAGGTTTTGCGATCATCACGAGAAGAGATACAAGGACGCTTCCAAGTGCGTGTACCAATTGGCTATCAACTAAAATGTTTTTTCACGCTTGGAAACACCTGTCTTCGCCTTGTACATCCTGAATTCTTCAAAAACATTTAGTAATGCGGTGTCAAATTAAAAGTAGAGACAATTCTTTTTATCTCACTCTGGATGAACGAGCTAACTCGCGTTATTTTTCACAAAGACAAGCGACGTTCTCTAATGCAGTGTTTTTTTTTTTTTTTTTTTTTTTTTTTTCCAATTAATTGAGCGCAACCGATGATGAGTCGACACGCGCACGACTGCACGACAATGCGATGGCAAGTTAATTACAGGCTGATCTCGATCAAGGTCCACAGCTCTTTTTTCACCCCAGGCATCATTCGCGACGGTTAAATATGCGTTCGCGGTGAAGGCCACAGGCGTCTCGTGCGTCTCGTTTTCTTGGCAAAAGTGTCTCTACAGATCGTCGTTGGTCGCTGAGTTCGGCCGCATGGAACGACAATGGGAGGAAATCGATCGAGTTTCGGAGCGCGCGAGCGCATCGAGTGGCAGGCAAAGGATCGCTCGCTGCATCTCTCGCTGGCCGAGTGCGCTTGGAAATCTGGGTCAAAGTCGTGTCCTCCGAAAGGCCAAGAAGGAAGGCGCGCTTCAACAACGGCCTATCCTCTCTCGCGAGAGTCGGGCCGCGACCGAGATGAGCAAGGCGCGCGCGCCTATTTATTTATGGATCTGTATCGTCATCCGAATGCGCGTCGCCATTCGAAGGTGCGAGAGCACGCACCGGCTGTAGTGTGCGAGGCGCAGCAGCGCGCACGTTCGTATAGACACACGCCAAATGACAGAGGGTGGAGAAAGGGACGACCGATTGTCTCGTGCTTGCCGCGGCAATCTCATCGTGTCGCAACCAAGTGCAGGCGCTGTCCGTCCGCGAATTTCGGCCGCTCGCCGCGAGTTACGTGACGATTCGCGCGTCATATACGTACACGTCTCTCGGCGGCGCGGCGCGGCGCGACGCGACGCAACAGACAGAGCGACAGCGCTCCTCTCCATAATTCGGCAATTCGCAGGAGCGACGAGCTCGTGGAAATACGGCTCGCTACATAAAAGTTGAGCGCGCGATTTGTCCGCTCGGTCACGTCTCCGCTCGGGCTCCTCCTTTTCTCGCGAGCGTTCCGGTTCTCAGGCGCCTCTATGACCCTACACGCCTGAACGAGTCGCTCTTTCCCACATTAATTGTCGCGCGAGGCTTAATTTTGAGGAAATGTCTCCGCCGCGCGCTCGCGGCCGCCGGTCCTTTCTCTATCTCGGGTCCTCGACTCGCGTGCTTTTCTTTCTGGACGGGCTCGCGCGCCACGCTCCTACTTTCTGTACTTGGCGAAGAAAACCGGACGATCGCGTCCTGCTTGTACGCGACCTTTTCGGCACTTGTTTCTCCGATTTCGTTCGAGTCCGTGATTCTCGCATCCCCGTTCTCTTTTTTTCTTTTGGAAAACAATGTAGGCTACTTATTAGCCGACTTAATTCCACGCTTGTACTGTTGGTTTTGCGAAATGTGGAGCGACCGAACGGAGTGGTCGTAGTTACACAGGTGGGCGGGAGCTGGTGGGTTCTACAAAGGAAGGTCCAACAATTGGTATTGCTTTGTTTTTCCAAACATATCGTTTTTTAGTGTATTTTCAAGAATTCATAGAATATTACATATCGACATATATACAGTCACCGCTATACGTATTTGCTACACAACACGCGACTATAAACTATATGATAAAACATAAAGACAAATGGTACTGATTAATAATCGGACGGATCACAAAGTCACATGGAATTTGGTCGTTTTCTACGATCGTGATGCCTCGAATATCGTCTTAAAATAATTTGTAGATGTCCTGCGAGCGGTCCACTCGTTAATCAGTGTACAGTGTGTAAAGGCCCGTTTGCCGTCGTTCGCGCGCGCGCGCACAAAATATATTTCTACATATATTATGCTTTACTATGTATAATACGTATGACACTTTCTTTCTGTACAACAGCTGGAAATCGACGATCGAGCGCGAGATGCGAGCTTTTAAACACTTTTGGAGCTTAAACGATAGAGCTCGACAAAATTGTACATACAAACTATAGGTAACGAGCGCTCGGCTTCATCGCAATTAGCTCTCGCGTTTGCGCCGTTCGAGTAACACAATTAGGTACGTATATATCGGTAACCTCGATGAAATCACATTCGCACTAGATTTTACGCTTAAATTCAAACGAGATAAAGGGAGACAGAGAAAGTGGAAAGAGAGAAAAAAAATTAACAACTACGACAACTGAATCTTGTGCGAATAATTTGGCAATAAAGCGAAAGAGAAGGAGAAAGAAACGTTGAGAGTTTGTATATAGGTAACTTTGCGAGAACATAACGCAATTGCTAATCATTCCTTATTACATTACTAAATTTTCTCTTTTTTATTCCAATTATTCGTTCGCGCGCATAACTCTCGGGCGTGCATGATCTGACGTAAATATTGAATAAGCATGTTTGCGCGTGTGTGTGTGTGTGCGTGTGCGTGTGTCTGTTTGCGTGCACCGGTATGACTGTTAGTTTGTAGGAAAAAGGAGCAAGACTAAAAATTAAAGGAATAGATATACAGCGCATAGGAAGCTGGACTGGATGGGAGACGTTGTGATAGTGTTGTTGAAAAACGTAAGGAACCTATTTTCGTCATTTTTCCTTCTTCTCCTTACTCTTCGAGTGATTGATTGCACCTGCTGGCGCCCGTTACAATTCAATTGCGTGCAGTCTATCGATACACGTAGAGAGAAAAGAGAGCGCGACTGTGCAGTCATATACGTGTATATAAAGTATACCGAGAGAAAGAGGCGTGCGCGCGTGCAGATAAACGCGGGCACAATGCCATTTCGTACATTGTCGAGTGCGCGAGACGTCGTCGCGTACTGCTCTTTCAAACTTTACTCGTGGATAGAGCAGAGAACAGAAGGTAGAACGCGAACGAAACTAACTAAGAGATTTTCTTGAGAATGATTTGCCTATATGGACCTCGCGTGTCTCGCTAGGGGGTCTTCTTTGGGTATATACGAAAAGTCGTTCGATCGAAGGCCCTTTGATAAATGACACTTTCGCTGCGCTTTACACGTCTATATATTAGACATTTTGTGCGTCAACACACGCTTTTTTTATGCTTCGGGTATGCGTATATATATATTTATCAATTCTTGTATACGACTCTCTAAATCGCCTCTGCTTATTAAATTAATGAATACATGATACTTCTCTTCGCTGTGTATGTATATATGTAGATGTATGTATTTATATGTTTTTTTATATATTATATTATTATGAACATGACATAGTCATATATTTTGTATTTACATAGACTCGTATATTAAAAGACGCCTGTACAATAGTTTTCATTCATATTTGTTTTCCATTCGAGTGCATTGTTCCAACATACGCAGATCAATGATTAAGCGATCGAATCGGAGAGGAAAAATTTTGCAGCCAGCCTCCAATTAACCGATTTCCGAGTCTTATAAAGACGATAATCTCTCTGTTCGCCTATTTTTATCCGATAGTTATGTACATTTATTTGAGAAACAAACAATTCAGAAACCCGACTTGATTTTTTTTCTTTCTTTCTTTTTCTCCGGGTGAATTTCTCCTCTCCGATCGCGATAAGGCTCCCTTGTTGCTATCGCGATTCAAGTCCACACAGAGCGCTTCACCAAACTATACATCATTCTGCATGTCGCAACGACTTTTTGAGATCGTCTATTTTGCAAGTTCGCTATATAAATGCTTCTTTCTTTTTCTCTCGTCCTCTTGCGCGGAGCCGCCGTATCTCGTGACGTACATGTGACGCACAAACAGTCAATTATGATCGATCGCTAGCCCTGATCGCGTACACCGACCACGTAGACTTTCATGGCGGGAGAGAGAGAGAGAGAGAGAGGGGGAGAGACGTTTATTTAATCAGAGAAGCCATTAACGTTGGTACGTTTCATTCTAATGAGGTGTACTTCTCCGGAGCCATCTGAATTACCGAGAAAGAACGAAAAAGGAAAGCTGATTTTGAGGATGCGGATGCTAATTGAGCTCCAAGGATGTGGCTCAAATGAAAACAAAACGCACAATTAGCCGCTACGAGCGAGGTCCTTAAGTCGAAACGCGAGGCTCTCACGCGCGGCCCCGGCGCGCGTGTGCGTGCGCGCGTGTCGCGTCATTCGCGCTACAACAAAGCAATGCGTCTCTCACGCCGAAAAAGACAGGAGCTTGCTCGGGAGACTCGGCAATCGGTCGCTGGCGTCTATCGGTACGGCGTGTACAGAAGAGAAGAGCGCAATTAGCCTGTGTGACTTGGCTGTGGCTTGACGATGCTATCGCTCGGTCGGACGTCGCGTAATCCGTCGTTACTTTCGAAAGGACGGTAGCAGTAGCGACGATCCACCCGGGCGTGGACGCGTGGGAGAAAAAGAAACGACTAGCCGAGCGGCTCACGTGAGCTCAAGTTGGAGCAATCGGCAAGAGATCTCTCTCTCTCTCTCTCTCGCTCTCGGCTCATCTGGCGCAGCGGCGGCAGCAGCAGCAGCGGCAGCAGCAGCAGCAGCAGCAGCAGCTCCTTTATGGCGTTCCACTTTCGCGAACGGGCGCCCAGAGAAGGGAACCACTTCGGCTCTGTGTGTGCGTGTGTGTGTGTGTGTGTGTAAGTGCGATCGGGGCGTAGCAACTGGCTTCTTCTCACGTACAACGCACCTACACACGCGAGCTCTGTACCGCGATCTCTCACGGTAGTGGTAACCGTGCAGCGACAGCGCTTTTGCCGCCACTGCCGCGTCACTTCTCGTGCGCGCCCCACAAATAACGAACATTTAAATGTGACGTGATGAAAGCTCTCGCTACCCCGGCGGGCTTGCATAATTTTGGAAATGAAATACTGCCGGGAGGCCGCGATCGCGAATGAATAAAAGAAAAGAAAAAGTCGTCGATATTTACGGTTACGGGCATAATGGGACACAACGGTGTATCGGCTGGCGTTGCAAAATTTCCGTGTGCTCGCCCGTTTTCAACTGTGCGCGCTTTTATAAAACAATATACGACACACGCCCGTAAATTACAGGCCGGGCGAATTATCGGACCGAATCTCGGGCTCGGAAAAAGGGGCGAGCTTGGGCTGCACGTACACGCAACACACCGCGAGGGCTAAGCAAGCGGCTCCGATGAACAGCTGCCGACGAACCATCGCCAAATCGGCGCGCGCTCGCAAGTGTAACTTGGAAAGAAAGGAGGAGAACGGGCGCGGGCGCGGGCGCGGGCGCGAGGAAGATGACGAGCGAATTGTGCGCGGGTACATCCGTTAATGAGCTCGGCGGAAATTCGGCACTTTCGAAAGGCCGACCGGCGGGTGTCGACGAGAAAGGACGAGCGAGCGAGCGGGCGCTGCGGCAAAAAGAGCAGCTCTAATAAAAGAATAAAAGGAGCGCGAGAGCGGGGGGTGGGGGGAGAGGGAGAAAGGCGGATAATTGAAGGAGGAAGGCTGCACAGAGCCGTGTGCACGCGCGAGGAGCGATCGATCGCGCGGCGCACTCGGTTTCTTTATTGCGTTTCACTTTCGCGCGCGCGATGCGCCCGATCGAGCTTGCTCGGGGCGTGGCGAGCGGGCAAAAGTGTAACGCAACTCCACGCCGAGGTCACTCGCCACGCAGAACTGGGATTAGCTTCATTTTCACCTGGCTGCTGCTGCTGCTGCTGCTGCTGCTGCTGTTGCTGCCGCCGCCGCCGCCGCCGCCAACGCCGCCGCCGTCGTCGCCGCCGCTGCTCCGACCGGACTTTCCACTAGGCCAGTTAGAAAGTAAGATTGATTCCGACACATCGAAGCGCGCGACCGTCGCCCTCGCCCGACGCCGAGCTTTCCTCGCGATTTCTAATGATGCCCGTTGTCGCCGGACGGAGCGCGACCATGACCACCGGCCCGCGTAATGTCGTCGAATTCGCTTTCTAGGTCGTAAAGTCCGGCGCAGCGGCTGCTTGCCGCCCGTGACGAACGGACTTTTGAGCCTGCTCTCGTTTATCGCGACGAGAGAGCCGCCGCTGCTTTCTATCGCGCGCTCGCCAAGGGACGGCACTACTAGGCCAGCCGAGTCGGGGACTCGGACGGGGCAATTTGTCCTGCAGACTTTTCGGCGAACGATTTGCATTGAATCGGCGCGGCCGTCCGGACAAAGGACGGCGTCGGTTCGGCGTCGGCTCGGCCGCAGCAGCGAGCCCTTGTCTTTCTCTCGTCTCTCGCTGGGATTACCGGTAATTGATCTTGTCAACCCTCGATGTAGGTCGTCGGTCGGGCGGAGAGAGGAAGCAGCGAGCAGGCCAGTCGCAAGGAGGAGCAGGTGAGCGGGCTCAGGTATTGTTGGCCGCCGGCGACAGCGGCGGCGACTGCTGCTCCTCGTGCAGGCTCTCGGGCGCGCTGCTGCTCGACCTCGAGCTCAGGTTGTCGCGGTCGCTGAAGTAGGACGAGTCGCCGTGGGCCTGGCCGGCCGCGCTCTGGCGCTTGTCCTCGAGCCTCAGCTGGTGCTTCTCGCTCCAGGCGGCGCGCTCCTCGGGACTGGCCGCGCCCAGCAGCCCGGGGAAGTAGGGCAGCGAGGCCTGGCCGCCGCGCGACGTGATCTTGCCCATGAAGCTGCGGATCTCCTCGAAGTAGGACTCGTCGGCGCGCGGCAGCTGGCCGTGGTACCTGGAGCGCACCTCGTCCAGTATCGTCGGCCCGTCGGCGTCGTGCTTCTTCAGGTGCCTGTCCAGGTTGGTCTGCTGCCCGAAGCAGCGCTCGCACAGCGGGCACTTGAACGGCTTCTCCTTGTTGTGGATGTTGCGCACGTGGCGCTGCAGGTTGCTCGAGATGCTGAAGCTGCGCTCGCAGTACTTGCACTTGTAGGGCTGCTCGCCGGTGTGGGTGCGCAGGTGGCGCGTCAGGTTGGCCGAGCGCGGGAACACCTTGCCGCAGAACTTGCACGAGTAGCGGTCCTTGGGCTTCAGGCCCGCGCCCACGGCTATCGAGTAGGCCGGCAGGCCCGGGCCGGTCGCCGGCTGCGGGCCCGCGCTCGCCGCCGCCGGCCGCTGCCGCGGCGCCGACTGGGCCTGCGCGCCCGCCTCGGACGCGCCGGCCTGCGGCTGCTGGCCCAGCTGGCCCAGCTGGCCACCCGGGCTGGGCGGCCTCAGCGCGCAGCTCGCGGCCGCGCTGCCGGCGGACGCGGCCGTCGCGGAGAACCGGCCGCCGGGCAGCGGCACCATCGTCGGCAGCGCGCGCACCTGGATCTTGGGCAGCTCGGCCGGCTGCGCGAGCTGCTGCTGCTGCTGCTGCTGCTGCTGCTGCTGCTGCTGCTGCTGCTGCTGCTGCTGCTGCTGCTGCTGTTGCTGCTGCTGCTGTTGTTGCTGCTGCTGCTGCTGGGACGAGCGGTACATAGCCTCGAGGACCAGCGGGTGCACCGCGTGGTGCTGGGGGAAGAGCACCGTGTGGTAGGGCAGGCCGGCGGCGCCGCGCTCGCCGCCCGGCTGCGGAGCCGCGCTGTTCTGGTTGAGCGCCTCGATCTCGTTCTGGTTCTCGTCGCGCAGGCTCTCCTTCTTGTGGTCGAGGCGCAGGTCCAGCGGCTCGCAGCTGGCGTCGTCGAGCGGCCGGCTGCCGGGGCCGCGGGTGCGCGCGGCCGGGCTCATCGAGCTGGAGCAGGGGCTGCCCGTGTGGCGCGTCAGGTCGTAGGGCAGCTCGGCCTCGGGCTCCGCGGCGCCAGGGCCGCCGCTCGTCGACGAGCTGGCAGCCTGCGCGGCCAAGCTCGAGCGCACGCTCACCGGGTAGATGCTCGCCTGCTTAGGGCTTATGTGGCCGGGCATCTTGCGCGGGCTCGAGTCCTTCTCTCGCATGGCTGGCGGGTACTTCGCTGCTGGGGACAGACTCCTCACGCCGAGGTACTCGTTCATCACACTGGCCGCCGGTTTTTCAGTACCGGCTGCTCGCTCGCTCGCTCGCTTAGCCTCCAAGGCTCCTTGGCTGCTGCTGCTACTTCTTGCCTTTTCTTCGGTGGCCTCGTGACCTACAACAAACGACGATAACCCAATGAGAAAAATCTTTCGTTAGCGCTTATAGATCGCCAAATCTACTTTCGCATTTATCATACTTTATATTTAAAAATTATCGATTGTCTCCGATCGCACAGCTCAAGTGCGATCGATCGCTCGTCGCTGAATCCATGACGATTCTTTGAAAATTGTGTCACTGACGTTACCAGCAATTCGGCGGGATGCAATGACCGAGTACGTTCGAAGCGTTAAATCTCCGTAAAGCCGCTTGTTCAATTTGTTTCAACACTTTCTTTTTGTGCAAAGACAAGCGACATCTAAAAATATAGAGTTGTCGAACTTCCGTAATTCGGTGTTCGGTGAGTGAAACAAGCGATACATCATTCTCGATGATGACGTGTATATATGAGCTCGCCTAGACAAATTTGGAGCGAAGGAACACGCATATACGTAAACACCTGTTGAATCGGGCCAATCGTTATTACGGAAACGTCGTCCTACGCACGCGTATCGTCGAAGCTCGTTTTTTCTTCTTTTTGTTCAGCAAGAGTTGAATATCAATTATTTAAGTGACACACGCTAATAAGGCTCTCGCCTCTCTTCCGTCTGTCTCACTCTCTCTCTCTCTCTCTCTCTCTCTCTCTCTCTCTCTCTTGAATGATGTTTCAATAGAGCGGATGAGAGGCGAGAGATGGCCATTCATAAAACATGCTTAATAATTAGCAGCTTATTTGTAAATAATGAAGCACGTATACGATCAATCAAAAAATATACTTCTTAATTAATTGCATTTATGACATACGGTAGATTTATTTCCATATGACTTTATATTTATTTTATGCAAATGTATGAGCACGGTAAAGCAGACGTATAAATGCAAAAACACAGGCACATAGCGCATAAATAAACGTAAGGCGCGCTCTTCTCCGCTTGGAGTGTAATCTTTCGCGGAAGTGTCGCGTGAGAAGCGCTCGCACGCGAACAAAATTAAAATTGGACACAGCCAAGACGGCCGCGACGGGCACGAGCGCGCGTTACGAAGCGCATCCGAGTCGCTGCGCGCGGCAGTAAGTAGGCGGCCTGTGCAGCTTTGCGCATTGATGTCTCCATACGCGCGCGAGCGAGACGAGCGCCGCTCGGGACTGAGCTTGCCGGAGGCCGGGCAAGGACGCGCGATTGCGAGGCGAGTTCCGCGAAGTATCGCCGATCGATGCTTGACGACGGTTAAATTTAATCGAGCGCTCCTTCCCGCGAGCCGCAGTACGACATTACGCACAGGCTAGAAATTGTGGGTCGGCGAAGGGCGCGCTCGTGTGCGTCCTTTCTAATTGCCCACGTGCCTCGGTGATCGTTTCTCGTCGGCGAGCCGCGATCGTTCGTCCGACGTGAATCGTTCCATTTTTTTCAGACCCCCGGCTCGTCGACCATCGGACGTTACGCGCGCGTCGCGCAGTGGCGTTTCGCCAACGAAACAATGGTCAAGGTGTCGCTCGACTCGGGCAACGGCTCGTTCGACACGCGGTTGGAGCACTTCTCGTTTGCTCAGGCTCCGCGTACAAGACGTGCCCACTAGCGCTGATCGATCGGCCGCGACGTAGCCCCGGTGTTTTCTTCGCGCGTCGATCGACGCGCTCCGCATCAAAGCTCGCGCGAACCGCGGCTCGCGTAAGCACGAGGATGCTCGTGCGCGACATCGTTATTCGTCGGAGTCGAGTGGCCGAGGCTGGAAGGCGCTGTTACGGCCGAGCATAAATTTCTCTTTCATCTGCGACTGGTCGCGTCCGAGAGGAGAGACGCCTCGCCTAACTGGAGCAGAGCAACGGTACTCTCTTCCAGCGGCCACTCCTGCACGCGCGTCTCTCTCTCTCTCTCTCTCTCTCTCTCTCTCTCGGTCTAGGCTTCTTCTGCTTCTGCTCCCTCGACACCGTGCGTTGCTCGCGCGCGCATCGGCTGCACTCGGTCGCAAATCAGCGCGTCCGATTGCGAGCCAGCCCGTTCTCGCGGTGCGACGGCGCGGCGGTTTGCCGTGGATTTACGATTTCTGACTGGATTCTTTTGATTCGCGGGCTTTTAATTACGCCTGCCCGACTGCCTCTGTCTGGCGGAACGCGAGGCGTGCAATCATACCGCTGGCAACCCGCATCGGAGATTTTCAGTCGCGAGTCGGATCTCCCACGGTGGTGCTGGCTTATGCAGACAGCTAGGATCGAGTTGCAATCGACCCCGTGCGACTCTCCGACAAATTTACGCAGATCTCTCGCTCACACGCCAAATAACAGTCGCTGGAGCAGCGCGGATAGCTGCCAAGCGTGGGAGAACTGCGTCGATACGTCTGTGCGCGGGCCGCGTTGGACTCGAAGAGTTCGAAGGTCTCGCGATCGCAGTCGGCGCGAAAGCGCACTTGTCCATTTTGAAAGCTCGATCGCGAATGGAGCCGCTGTAGTCCCCGCGCGTCGTTGCGCGAGCTGCTCGCGAAGCTTCCACGCGTCGCAAACCAGTACTTTACTGGTTCCAAGCTGCGAGAAATCCGAAAGTGGCTTTGATGCGCACTCGCCAATTTGCGCGAGCGAGCGAGCATCTCTGTGCGCACTTGAGGGTTACGTGATGAGTCGCCGAGAAATCCAGTTTTCGGAGCTCTAGAAAGCCGCTGCATCGCGCGCGCGTCCTTGTGCAGCGGCGGTGAGGCGGCAGCCTCGCCCTTCTCTTTGCCGCTCACCGCGCGTCCGATCGTCCGGCAGCCAACGGCTCTCGATTTCTTTCGCCGGCTTTTCTTCTCGCGGCTCTTCCGGAACCGCGCGCCCGAGATTGTGGCACCGAGCGCTATTCCTTGCGCGGACGCGTTGACTCAACGGCAGCCGACCGGTTTGTTTCGGTCGCGCGCGTAGCCCCAGCTAAATCTCGCATGCAACAAGGTCGTTGACGAGCGCCGAGTCGTAATGCTGTTCGTCGCGACGCTTCGACAACTAGCTGGAGATCCTTCCGAGAGTAGGCTCTCTCGCGACTCATCGTCATATCGGCACTCTGACGCATCAAACTCGATCTCCGTCGCTCGCGCCATTCTCAGCGATCAGTCCATCCTCGCGCACATCCTTTTTCGTTGAGCTGTACTTTTCTCATTGTCTGCTGCTAATGGCGCAGAAGAAGAGAAAAAAATTATCGTCCGCTTTTGTAGATCAGGTGCAGCTCGCGCGTGAATATGCGTCGTGACGCATCGACACAGAAAAGAAGAAAAAAAAAAACGAAAAAAAGAAAACGGACAAGAGCGACGATGAGAGCGCGCGTGTGCATTATTCTCGAACGAGATTCCGCATCTCCGCGAGATTATTACTTATGACGCGCTCCCCCTTCAATCTAGCCCATCTCTCACACGTATAAGGCTACAGGTCCTCCTGTCAGTATCCGCTCTCTCTCTCTCTCGGCCCACACGCGCCAATGCGAGAGCCGCCGTTCGCCTCGCTAATGCAAGCAGGGACGTTAAATATCTATTTCGTTGCGGCAAGCCGAGCGATAATAGAGCCGCCGAGCGTTTTCTCCTCTCTCTCTCTCTCTCTCTTACTCTCTCTCATGCGGGATCCCTCCTTTGCGACTCGTTTTCCCTCGCCGTTGCGCGCCGAAGACGTATCAATTGGTTTTATATAGATGCGCACGATGCTTCTTTAATTTTCCTAGCGCGCAAAGCGTCGAGGGACGATCGTTCATTAGTGTCAAGCTGAATTACAAGTGTTTGCGATATTCCCTGGCGTTAATCCGAGAAATACGATCCCCGTTTGGATTTTCATTTATCTCTCTTGGCACTTTGTCACGCGCGATTCGAGCGGTAAAGGAGACTTAGTCGGCGTGTTGCCATGTTGGAATAATAGCGTTGTTTCGCGACGACAGATAAAATAAAATCAATCGAGGAAGAGAGAGAGAGAGAGAGAGAGAGAGAGAGAGAGAAAGCGTCGATGCGCATTGACGAGCTTGCAGGCGAGAGCGCGATCGGAAAGAGGAAAACGATCCTGGGCTGGCGCGCGAACGCGTGAATCACGCCAACGACACTCGGCGAACGACTATAGCAGCGCGCGAGATAGACACTTTATACACGTAGACAATGCCGCGAACTGGCGCGAGACATGCGGCAGAATGCAATTTAAATACAAAGATCGAGGCTAGGTGAGATAAGATAGCCAAGCGCAAAAGCTCGCTATCTCGCGAGACACATCCTTCACCACGTGACTTATCTAATGCGCTCTCGTGGCCGTTGCAGCCGACTTCGTTTCTCCTGTCCGGCCGCACACTGGGTCGCGCGAACGCATTCGTCGCACGGACCGTTAACCACGCTTGTCGCCCCGAAATAAGAGATCGGGAGAGAAGACATGCGAAATCGCGACGATACGCCCGTTCGGCTTGTCGTCGCGGGCAAAGGTCGCGCAGCCAATATTTCTAATTAGCGAGAGGCGCTCTGTGTACAGCTGACGCTGGCTGGCCCTAAGAAGCACGGAAACAATGTAATGGCATTTGCGCGCACGAGACTACCTCGACGCGTCATTGTTCGGCCGGATACCTCAGCTGAACATCTGACTCAGGGTAACGTTTGAAAGTTACACGAGTGGAGCGCGAGGAGTGGAATCTCCGAAAGGCAAAGTGATGGATTACCTCACGGAAAGCATCATCCGCGACGAAGATGATGATGGTGATGATTAAGCCGCTCACGTGTTTTTTCAGTGGCGGTCGAGCACTGCCGCGCGCGTTTTAGACAACGTACTATAAGCTCGCGACGATGATGATGTGTTTTCGGCTGTGTTTGCTTTTGCTGCTCCCATCCTCACCTCGCTGCTGTTTTTGTTAGTCCAGCGCGCGTATCAGAACCAATGCCGAGGAGAACGGAACGAAACGAAAGTCCTAATGGCAATATTTGTAATTGACTTGTGAAATCTTCGATAAACAGCCGCGTCGCTGCGAGAAAGTTTCGCGATACAGTTTCCCGCCCGTGAGGAAACGATCAGAATTGGTCCGCGACGAGACGCTGCCGCGC